CCTTGTTTCGAGCCTTTTTTTCATCTTAATACCTAATAATACAACTCATTTATACCACAATCATGCAATAAAAATGTCAAACAACACCAAAATCATATAAACATACTTTTCTACTTTCATTTCAATATACCATAACATATATTTGCTTTTTTGACATGTTATTATTTAAATAACCAACCTCCCTTACTTGGACATTCCTAAATCCTATATTTTTTAAGTATATACGTGTAATCCACGATCAATACTCTAGTTCCAAAACCTCGGCAACACCCCCCACGTAACCAAAATATATCTTATTATTTGGATTCTCCCCTCAACCTTAGAAGTAAAATCATAAAATAAAGGAAATGACTTACCCGTTCAAAATTATATTAAGGTAAAATTATTCCTTATGACTTAAGTTTTCTCTTACCACTTCCAAATGTAAAGTCATATAGAATTTCTGTATATTAAATTTAGAGAGAACATAAATAACTCTATTATAGAGGGATTATTATTAGTAAAGAAATATTTAACCTAACTTTCTATTTATAAATTTTTTAAGCATATTAATATATATATATATATATATATATATATATATATATTTATTTATTCAAACATGTAACACTTTTTTTTTCAAATTAAATTCAATATTTTTTAAAGTTTTATTGAGAATTAAAAATAATCTTAAAAAATTATTTATTGTAAACTAATTAGAATATAATTGATTAAAATTTCAATTAAAAAATATTTATCTTGTATAATACATAAACTAAAGTAGGAAAAAAAGAATAAAACCACTATATTCCTTATTTGGGCTTTACGTTTGAGCTGACTTTCGTCCATTCTGATTCCGCTGCTATCTACAACTATGAACAAAATTTTGCATGTTATTTATCATCCAGTTCCAATTACATTCATTGTATGTTTCAGCTATGTAAAACTAAAATTTATAATACCAGAATAATTCCGAAAATTTACATTTTTGGGTATTCTTAAAAAAAATATAGTGAAATTAATAGTTTTATTACAGATAAATATAAATCGTGTTTTAAAAATGACTTCAATTAAGAGGTCCTAAATTTAAAATATAGATTTAATGAAAATCAATTATGAGACATTTATTTTATTCTTTTTATTTCTTGAAATAATAGAAATAATGTTCTAAAAGACAACTTCAGCTAAAAATAAATTAAATTAATAAGAGAACAGTCTTGAATAATTCAGATCATCGATTCCATAAGATCCCATTCAACTTGAACCTATATTATTTTTAAAAATTATATAATTCTCAACTTGCTCAACGATTAATCTACGCACTATATGATTCTTATCATCATAGGTTAACTATTAATTATCGTATGCTTTCTTAATTCTTAATATATATGCATATTTATGATTCTTAATTCTTATTTTATTGTCTTTTAATTAGACTTTTACTTAGATGAAAGTGAAAAAATTTAATATGAATAAATGCTTTGAAAAAAATGGGAGGGACACGAGTAAAAATATCACAATAAGTTTAACCCATTGGATTAAAAAGATTGAATAAGGTCTATTTTGTTTGAGCCATATAAATCATGATTTACGTATATTTAGGCGCAAAACTAATCCGTAAAAATAATTATATTATTTTATAAAAAATATATGTATATAAGAGTAAATACAATAATAAATTTATAAGATCCACTTATTTAATGATCTAATTATTAAGATAACTTATTATTTAATGATCTAATTATTAAGATAACTTATTATTTTCGATCAAAAAATTACTAAAAAATAAATTATGATAATAAATATTAAATTTTTAATTCTTATTTTGAGATTGAAAACATTTATTTTCTTATAATTTATATACTATATCATTATATTTAAAATAAAAATTAATTTTATTAATATAATTTATATTTTAAAAAATTTATTTATAATTTCTATGTAAATATTTTTTAATTAATTATTTTGATATAGATATAATAATTTCTTAATTTTTAATCAAATCAAAATTATCTTGTTAACCTTGACATATGATCTGATTTTAAAATTATAGATCAATTTGAATTATTATAGTAACTATCTATTTTGAGAATTTAAAAAAGCTTAGAAAATTTACCTTCCTTCTTTCTTTTCCTTGAAAAAAAAAACACCACTAAGAGGTCATTTAGATCCACATAACAATTTGAGAACCTGAAAAATACAACAAAATATATATTTTTCAATGTATAATAAATGTTTTTTTTATCAAAATTTATTCTCTTTTTATCTAACCTGAAAAATTGTGAACAAAAGATAAAAAAATATATTATTTTATAATATAATTATTGTCGTGACATATTAAACATAATTAAAAAAAAAATGTTTTCATCAATAAAATTAATTTTACTTTTATAGACTTTTCATTTATTTTTCTCTACTTTTCACTTTCTTTTTTCTCATGCTAAACATCTCCATTTTTCATTCTCATTCTCGATAAACACAAAAAAACACTACTTAAAATGAATCACATCTTCTTATACACTGTTAAGAGGAAGTCATCGTTTGGATCTAGGTAGCGATTTGAGAACACGAGAAATTTAGCGAAAATTACATTATTCAATGTATAATAAATGTGTTTCTTTTTTATTTTTTAAAACTTATTCTATCTTTATGTAATATAAAAATGATAAAAAGAAAATTTGTAACATAATTGATTATGTTATAAGACATATTCGACTATGTTATAATTAAAAAAAAATGTTTTAATCAATCAAATTAATTTATCTTCTATCCTCTTTTTATTTATTTTTCTTTGTTTTTATTATGCCAAACAGCTTCATTTTTTTTTTCACTCACTCATATCTATTCTTCCATCTTCCATCGAAACGAGGATTAAGAATTTATTTTTTAGTAAATTTGATTATAGTCTCACTAACTTTGTGAAATAATTTAAATTTTCAAAGATAAGTGAGAGCTAATGAAAGTGAAACTCATGCCATTGATTTTCTAACGACCAAATAAAAATTCAGTTATTTTGTCCTAAAAAAATATTTCAGTAAGTTGAGAATGGAGAAAGTATAAAAAATATAATTAAATTATACTCTTAAATAATAAAATGAAACTCGTACCAAAACATAAAGGTAATATCAAATTTGTTTCAAGGGTGATGCTAAAATGATAGCCCCTGATTCCATGTTCATAGTGTTTTATATATATAAACCAAATTATATTTTATCATTACATATAAAAACTTAAATTAATGGAATTTTAATAATGACACGTAGAAACTTACTTGAAATGAAAAATAATGAAAAATTAAAATATTTCATTTTAATTTATTTAAATTTTAGGACCAAATTGAATCTTTAATACACCTTCAGGACCAAAATGACCATTTTCCAAAAAAATAATTGGTTAAATTCTTTGGAAAAATTAGTTATAAATAAAACTGATCATTATTTTGTATTAATAACTTATTAACAAGACAATCCCCAAAACACCTGTATCAATTTCACACAACTTAATAATGTAAATAAAGTCTTAATTTGGTATATTCATTTTTATAATACAATACGATCCATTATCAATCCTCTGGGTCGAGTATTCCCAGAACTGGGCCAAACTCTGGCCCAAGGTGAACAAATTTAGGCCCAAAGACATGTTTGTTACCAATAAGGATTAGTCAAAATCACGAGCAAGAGTTAGACAAGAGTCCAGGAGTAAAAGATGAAAACATTACTCCTTTGTAGTGTCTCCTCTGCATCGATGAGAACTCCATTATGAAATCCTAAGTAGATCACATGGCAAAGACCTAGCTAGCATAACTAGGCTTTCAACTTCAAGCTTGGTAGTTTTGGAATTTGCCATTCACTAAAACATATATAATTTTTTTGTTTCTGCTTTCACTGGATTATTTACAAATATGTTTGGTCTCAATTTTGTTCAGCTAATGTATATGTATGGGCCCATTCAAAGCATTACAGGATTGTTTCCATTATGAAGATTAATTAAGTAATAATTTCTTATATCTACTGGATTAGTAGTGACTCTTAGGAAGAAGAAACTTGTTATCAACAGAACACTTCTAACCCAATAACTTTCTTAAATTATCATACTTTTCTACTAATATTCACTCTACCTATCCACAAGCGCAGAGCAAAAGCTCATACGTAACACATTCAGTCTACAGCTAAAACCAGGATTTGTCTTCAGTATAGATAATAAACCCACCATCAATTAGTTACCAAGGGAAGACATTAAGGATAGTATATGTAACTCAGGGCATAAAAAGATATAGTGCACAAATCAAGATCAACACAGGTTTAAACATACTATTTATGAAAAAGGGATGATTAAGATTTAAAGAGTATCAAGAAAAACTAAAAACATTGTCAAAAGTAAAGAAAAATGCAAAACAAAGAATCAGTTGGTTTATCCAAATTCCAACATCTTCCTCTCTCTCTCTCTGTCTTCCCTCCCGAAAGTCAAGATATGGCACCTCATTCAAGAGACTTTGCTTTAAAACACTGCTTCCGGACCTTTTCCCCATTAAAGGGGTCAGTGAACTAATTGGCTCACACATACCGAAATTTTGATTATAAATGTATTGTCTTCTAGCAACTAGTAACCAATCCCCCCCCCCAGAAATTTACCCTGCTACTACATTACAGCAGGAAATTTAACCCGGTAGTTAAGTTTCTTTCAAGCCATTACGTCAAAGAGAAGAGCTTACAAACCCAAACAATTTTTTTGTTTTCAATTTAACGATAATAAATATGCAAGAACGAGCAAACACTAGTGAATGTGAACTGAATTGAGCTGAGATACTCTTGAAAGAGGCTTGGATCAAATTGCTTATTTAAAGCAACAAATGAAAACAGCACCAACGACTACACAGACAAAGAAACAAACACCGAAATTCAATACACAATGTATCATTGATTAGTCCTTCACTGTTTTACACTATTCCATTACACCATAACAAAGAAAGAAACCAAACTTACAAATAATCCTGTGCGTTCGAGTGTGGGGGCTGGTTACAGTCATACATCAAAATTCTCCATCTGAATGCTGCTCTTGAGAGGCACGTATTCTCCAAGGTACCCTCCGAGGTGATCGTGTAGCGCGCTCTTATCGATCCCCTGGTGATGGTAACTCTTGCAAACATAGTAAAACACACTCTGCACCAACAACCCAATCAAATTCACAATCACCAACAGCCCCACGAGGAACCCTCCAACGACAATCCTGGTGAAGACGCCATAAACGTCCCCACCGTGGACCACGACGACACTGAAGATCCCGGAGATGATGCTGCAGATAACGAGGTAGACGGCGACGAGAACGGCGGCGTACTTGGTCCTACCCTTGAGAAGATGGTAGCTTTTCTTCATGGCGGCGAGGCCGTAGATGGGCTCGAGGACGGAAACGACGGAGGCGAGGTGCCAGAGGGCGGTGATGTAGACGTGGGCGACGAGGAAGAGGGAGAGGATGACGAGGAGGGAGAAGAAGAGGAGGAGGGAGTTGTCGGTGTCGATGGCGATGATGGTGAGGAGGAGGGAGAGTAGGATGAGGGAGTTGTAGAGGATCATGAGGAGGGTGACCCAGAGGAAGGTGAGGAAGAGGCGCTTGAAGACGCGGGGGATGGCGGCGAGGGTGGAGGTGAAAGAGACGGGCTTGGCGGTGTAGAGGGAGGCGACGGTGAAGACGACGGCGGCGGTGGAGAGGAGGGAGAAGGCGAAGAGGAAGAGGAGGTAGGAGAATTGGATGATGAGGAGGAGGGTCCACTGGTGCGAGGTCTGGGAGGGGTCGTTGAAGGGGTTCTGGAGCTGGGAAATGAGGGGGTGCGTGAAGAGCGAGTGGGCGAGGATGGCGAAGGAGAGGGGGAAGACGAGGGTGAGCGTGATGAGGTAGAAGGTCTTCGGGGAACGCTTGGGGATTGATGTCGATTCTCGGAGGATGTCGGGGATGTTGAGGAATTGAAGCTCCTCTGGTGCCAGATCCATCTTCTCCCAAACAAAATCAAAATCCTTTCTTTCAATGGGGTTCGGGGTTTGTTATTTCTTCAGATTCGTTCAACTCCGGACAGGAGGAAGACGAGGAGAGGATGTTGGAGACGGTGGGTGTGGTCTTGTGTGGGGCTATCTTTTTTTTTTTCTTTTGTTTTCAGTGGACACCTTTCATGTTCAGCAAGCAAATTCCAGATTTCGCTTCCAAATTTAGTATTACAAAAAAAAGAAAAATTTGTTCACCGCTTCACCACTCACTGTTAGTATTAATGATTATTGTTATTATTATTGTCTTGGTCGTTCTCCTTCCAAACTAATAAATACCATTGGGTTTTTTATCTTTTTCCGTTAATAAAATAAAAATTGAATTTAATGGAAAACGTGTACTTTTTTTTAATCATGTGCTGTGTCTGTGACGTAAAAGTGTTAATGGAAAGCGTGTCCTATGAAGGTGGTAATATTAATAATATACAATTATTTTAAATATATGCCTAAAAAATATTCTTTTATGATAAAAAATATAAAAAATGCAATTTTCAGTCTTATGCGAGAAGCAATAGTTAGATTGATAAGTTACTTAAAGTAACAACAGTGTCGGTAACAAATTTAAGTTCATTTGGCAACTAGTCACCCACATAGCCCACTTGGGTGGTCTTCCTCAATCTTAAACACTAGAAAAATGAAATGTTTATGGAATGATATGTTTGTAGGATTAAGAAGATTTTTTTCTAATTAATCTGATGGACTACCCATGGATGAGCTCTAAACCAGAACGTCATATTTCCAAATTAGTGGTAGAAAATGTAATGTGGATTACATAATTTGTGGGTGTAAGAAAGAAAGGTTCCATAAAAGCAATCACCCAGCCCAAAGGCCTGAATTTGGATGGGACTTTGAGCCGGCCCAGGTAAAATAATTTTTATTATTACGATATAAATATATAAAACATAATAATATATAGTTACCGGTTGAGTAGAAATTGAGTGAGGGCGCAGGCGCGGGCACGGCACTGCTATTTGTTTCATTACAATCTTAAATCTTAGGGTTCACATTCTCAACTCAATCTTCATTTCCCTTTCTCTTTCTTACTTCACACTGTGAGTCTCTTCTACTCCCTACCCAATTTCCCCTTCCCTACTCTCCTCTAACCTAACTGCGTTTCCTTTGCTTTTTCTCTGCACTTAATTCTCAGCTTTCAATTGCAGAAGATTGTGATTGTTGGGGATTGCATAGACAAGGTGGTTAGGGTTAGAATAGAGTGAGTGTGGATGGGGAAAGAGGAGGAAGAGATGAGGGGTGAGATTGAGGAGCGACTGATAAACGAGGAGTACAAGATATGGAAGAAGAACAGTCCTTTTCTGTATGATCTGGTCATTACGCATGCCCTTGAGTGGCCTTCCCTCACCGTGGAGTGGCTTCCTGACCGCCATGAACCATCCGGCAAAGACTATTCCCTCCAGAAGGTTATCTTAGGGACCCACACCTCTGAGAATGAGCCCAATTACCTCATGTTGGCCCAGGTCCAACTCCCCCTTGACGATGCTGAGAACGATGCCCGCCACTACGACGACGACCGCCCCGACATCGGCGGCTTTGGCTGCGCCAATGGCAAGGTCCAGATCATCCAGCAGATTAACCATGAGGGTGAGGTTAACAGGGCTCGCTACATGCCCCAGAACTCCTTCATCATTGCCACCAAGACTGTTAGTGCTGAAGTTTATGTCTTTGACTATAGCAAGCATCCCTCCAAGCCCCCTCTTGATGGGGCTTGTAACCCTGATTTGAGGCTCAGGGGTCACAACACTGAAGGTTATGGCTTGTCCTGGAGTAAGTTCAAGCAGGGCCACTTGCTTAGTGGTTCTGATGATGCTCAGATTTGCTTGTGGGATATTAATGCCACTCCCAAGAATAAGACCCTCGACGCAATGCAGATTTTTAAGGTTGGAACCGCATCCTCTTCTGCTTTTTGGTTAGGTTAACTTAATCGCTGATTATTGTAAACTGTGGAACATGTTCTTGTTCTTCTCCCTAGGTTCATGAAGGTGTTGTGGAAGATGTGGCTTGGCATTTGAGGCATGAGTACTTGTTCGGTTCTGTTGGTGATGATCAATACTTGCTTATATGGGACCTTCGAACGCCGGCTGTCACCAAGCCTGTCCAATCTGTTGTTGCTCATCAAAGTGAGGTGCGTTTTATTGCAACGAATTGATAAATCTTTGTCAAAATGAGTATAACTTGTGGAGGAGTAACTTGTCTGTTTTGCTCTTTGCTAGTGTTTAATACCAAACAAACATTGGAGAGGGAATTGGAGTCTCTAGTGTATGTTTAGTGGTACTTCTGAAATATCACCATTTACTTTGTTTGAAATGTATAAATTCATGAGAAAGTTTGGCTTGAGTCACTAATCACAGACACTAAATCTAAATGGTGTTGCTGATTGAACATTGATGACAAATTGGAACTTAATCATGGTTGATGATAGAAAATTTGATAATCTAAGCACAGATTTCTAACTGTAGATAATGTTAAAGAACTGGACATGCTGGTTCTCTCTCCAGTTGTATGTTGATATACTATTTTACTTCTACGGCTTTTCATTTATTTGTTTGCACGGAGGCTTTTTTAGCTCTAAATTTCATTCTGTTTGCTCCTGTAATGTTGTCTGATATGCGGTAGTTGCTTGCATTCTTTTAGCTCTGCTATGTTCCCCATGTTATGGTTTTTCTATGTTTTAAAAATGCTAATATTCTTCTACTCAATATCACGCACTAAATGTTTTTTTTTTCTCTCATGGATATCTTGTCAGGTTAACTGCTTGGCTTTCAATCCCTTTAATGAATGGGTTGTTGCTACTGGTTCAACTGATAAAACTGTGAAGTTGTTCGATCTGCGGAAGATCACTGCTCCGCTGCACATCTTTGATTCTCACAAGTAACATTCTTGTCCAATGTTTTGATAATTGCTCTATTTGCACTTATATGTTTAGCATTTATTGATCTGGATTGTTGTTCGTGGGTCCAACAGGGAGGAGGTTTTCCAGGTTGGTTGGAACCCAAAAAATGAAACCATCTTGGCTTCTTGTTGTCTCGGTAGGAGGCTCATGGTGTGGGATCTTAGCAGGTATTACTTAAGAAAAGCATAATCATCTGTGAACTTTCAGTAAATTTATTACTATTTGTTGTCCTGAAATGTCTATTGAGAAAGCATATCACTGACACTGCGCATATGTTTAAGTGTTTCCTATACTCTGTTCTATGTTGTGTTTGATCCACTTTGACCAAATTGTCACGAGTACTCCTCCCTTTCCCCAAAGACTAAAATTTCAATGACTTTCGCATCTGAGGTTTGTTAGGAATATTGAAATTTATTCCTTGCTATTAATGTTTAAGCCCTTGGGATAGTTGAATCCTTGTCATGCAGTCTAATAGGTTCATGTTTGTTTTGGGTGGGGGCGCTAAGAATTTAGGTTGCTTTTACATGTTGGTCAGTGTTAAAAATTCGGTTGTTAATTTACCCATTCGGATAATTTGAGGTCTGCATGTCTCTTGGATGATAGCGCCCTCCCTTTTATAACAGTATCTCTATTTTCACACTAGGACTTAGTTCTAGTACAATTTTCTTATATACCAGGGAAGCTGCATAGCCCATTCGTACCTTTGTTGTAGATGGATAGTAATGTAATGCTCCTGTAGCTCAAATGTTTCAGCTGCCGAACATTTAATGATTACTGAAGGTTTATTTTCAAGTGAAAATGAACTTTTAAAAATACCAAAAGTTATCATATCTTAATAAATCACAAATGTTTCAAATGTTTGGTTAACATGGTCCCACTAATGTGTTGTGCAGGATTGATGAAGAGCAGTCACCAGAAGATGCGGAAGATGGTCCACCAGAATTGCTCTTTATTCATGGAGGTCATACAAGCAAAATATCTGACTTTTCCTGGAATCCATGTGAAGATTGGGTTGTTGCTAGTGTTGCTGAAGACAACATACTTCAAATATGGCAGATGGCGGAGAACATTTACCACGACGAAGATGATCTGCCAGAAGAGTCAACGAAGGCCGCAGCTTCATAATGTAATTGATGGACATGACATTTAGCATTTAGTGTGTAGTGTGGAATACAGGTTGAGTGCTGCGCACTTGGGAGCTTTTCCATATTAATTCCTGCTGTTACTTCCTTCTTCACCTTAGTTGTAGCTGTGTTTTCTGTAAGGTGTTGTGATATGATTGCCTTCACCAGTAGCATTATGAACAACCGAGACGTAGATGTAACTTCCGTTGGTAAAGGTTTCCCGTTAATGTTTACCAAATCTCATGTCTCATTGTTATAGTCATCATCGTAATCCATCGAAGTTACAGCTGTGCATTGTACCAAAAATCTCCATTCCAGATTCCAAAGTGCCTTTACAAAATTTTCACTTAAAACTTCACCTTCTGGATGCCTTTCATTTTCATTTTTTTTTAAAAGGAAACAATGGTGAAAATTAAATAGAAAGCCTGAAATTATATTTTTTTTTTAACTCTGTCACTAAGCTTTTTGCAAAGTTAGATTAAAATGACTAAAAAAGTACAATTTTAGGTAATAAAGTTTTCGTCTCTTTTACCTCTTTTAATTGCAATTTGCAACTATTTTGCTCCGTCAAAACCCATCTAGCAAGAAAGCTCTTGAAACTTTATTTGAACGAAATTAAGCTCATTATTTGTCAATTATACGTTAATTTTCGTCTTATTTGTATTTAAATTTATTGTTAATAAATTTGAGTTTAGAGTCTATTATAAGCATAATATTAACATTTTTTAATGTGAATTTTAAAAGAGTTGCCGTTAAATATGCAAAATTAATATCATTTAGAATATATTTATTTTTTCCTTAAGTTGAACAAGAACATAAAATATTAAACTAAAACTCTTATTATTTAATATTTATGAACATATTTATTTCCGTCCAACAAGATATAAATCTTGCTCTTTTTAGTTTTGCAATAGAAAATTAAGGTTAGGTAATTCTTTCTAAGAGAAGTTTATATATTTTGGATTTCTTTTTATTTGAGGTTTATTGTTTTTAGCATTTAATAAAAATGTATTTTAAAGTTATATTTTTGTGATAGGTGATATAATAAGTGAAAGTCACAATGTTAGATACATTATTAAAGAGAGTGTAAATAGTATATTGTTATATTAATTTTATTAGGGAGAAAAACGTGTATAAAAATTAAAATTTATTTAGTTGTTACTTGATATGTATAAAATATATTTATTGATTTGTTTAAAGTGTAAAGATGATGTAAACTATAAAACTAGATTAGAAGTTAAAATGGAAAATTAAGATAGTTGTTCTATCATTAAAAAAAACTATTTATAATTAGTTATTGAATTTATACAACTCTGTGTGGAAAGAGGTGGGGAGTTTAACTCCAAGTATTTAGTTATTGATTATATCTTTACTAAATATTTTTGTTATTGGTTATAATTTTGTTTTTATGTTTTTAGTGGGTTACTAATTTCTAGTAGTTAATAGTTTGTATTTACCTATTTAAAGATTCAATTAAGTGAATAAATGTATACAACAGTTCAATAAATTTTTTTTTATCAAACTACAGTACCATTTATTTATTTGTAAGAGTGGTATCAGAGTCACTCAAACATAGTAATGATCATCGACAACTTGGTTCAACCATCTATTCTCCTTTGTTTTGATAGACACTACAATCAATCATTGGGATAGGTTAATGGAGAAATTATTGAGGTAAAAAGAGTATTAACAAGTTGTTTTGTAGGACATTGAGGAATTATCAGATGTCACAGGAATCACAAACGCAAAAAATGAAATAGAAGGGTTGTGCTAAAAAAATTTAAAGGAATTTTTTTTTAAATAATTAATTATTCAATCTTGTAAACCATCCTTTGCAAACATATGCGTATTTGGAATTTTATGAAGAAAAATATTAATGTTATGCAAAAGGCAAAGTCCAAACATATTTAGGATAACAAATTATTTTGTATGGACAATGGCCTTTGTAAACAAGATGTTTATTCATGGTGACAAACCAGATGATCTTGCTATGGTTGAGAAAATAACCCACTTCATAACTCTAAACTTTAATTTTATAGTTTCTTCCATTGAGGAAACTCATGTGGTCGAACAACTTTGAATTGATGAGTTACAAAGTTATCTATTGATTCATTGACAAAAAATTTGTAAGAAAAAGGAGAAACAAACAAGACTTATTCAGATAATAATTCTACAAGGAGTAGTGATAAAATTAATTAATATTTGATTATATGAAAATAATGTTTTTCCTTATTTTTTTTTCCATTCTATTTTATTTTTTTAATTAAAAATACTATATTAAAGTTTGATAAAATGAATATTTTATTATTTTTAAAAATAAAATATTATAATTTAATATATTATATTTAAAAAAATATTATATGATAAAATTGAAATATTATAAATATTATTGTTATGTTATAATTATTAAAAATATATTTATTTTAAAGTAATAATTTTTTTAAATTACCTAATCTTATTAATCAAGTAAACCTAATTATAAATAAGTTAAATTACTAAATAAAAAATATTGACTGATATTAATATTTATAAAGTTAGTATTATATTAAAAAATATATTATATAAGATGAGGTACACAATATTATATATATATATATATATATATATATATATATAATTAAAAAACTATTATGTATAAAAGTAGTATTTAGATGTTACTTTGTATAAGTTTATAAATAAAACTAATATGTTTTAGTTAAATAACACTTAAAAGTATGAATGATTAATTTAATATTATTTTTTATTATAAATCAATTACTCGTATAATTAAAAAAATCAAATTTTGATGAATTCAGTTTTTTATTTTATTATCTAAATTAAAATGTACAAAACGGAACATAATCTTAGTTTTAAAACAAATATACTATAATTATAAAATAAAATTTTATGTTTTAGTTAAATAACATTTAAAGGTATGAATAAAATTAATTGGATGTGAAATCTTCTAATATATTGAGAAAATGTATAATATTAAAATTCTTTTATCTGAATAATAATTTTTTAACATGATAACTCTACGAAATATTTTTAATAATTTGATATATATATATATATATATATATATATATATATATAATTCTATTTTTATGATGTATATGAGCTATCACAGTTAAATATATTAAATTTAATTAAAATAAAATATAATTATAAACTAAATTAAACATTATTAACTCACTGTCAGATATTTCTACGATGAATGATCTTTCATTCGCAAAGATATACATATATAACCATGTTTTCTCGTTGAGTAAAAAAAAATAAAATTAATATTTTGTAATAATTATTTTGATAAAAATATTAATTATATATATATATATATATAAAATAAGTATAAATTATAAAAAAAATTAAATTAATAATTTTTTTGAATTAATTTTTAAATTTTTATAAATGAGATAAATATTTTAAAATATCAATGATATATTTAATTAATTATGAATAATCTAAGATTAACGGTGTTAACATATTTTCCTATTCATATCGATAATCATATTTAGGATTGTTGTAAAGTACTCCATGTTTCCCTATTCATGATCGATAATCAATTTTCAAACTCAAACTTTGATTTTGGAGACTAAATTTTGTTTTTTTTAGTGTTTTTCATAATAAATAATAGTAACCACTCTAATTTTTTTTTTACAATTTTTAATTTTGTATATATTTTACTTGTGGTTATTTCTTTGATTGAATCTAAATATAAGTGGTTAAAATATAAAATCAAAATAAATAAAACCATGCAAAAGTAAGACCAAAATTTGTAATTTTTCGAAGTGAGTCAATGAGATAACATATAAAATTCAAAGGAGAACCAAAATTACAACAAAATAACCCAAACTAAAATCTCATGCTTCCTCTAGACCATACACAACACCCTTGTACTTAACAATGTCAGAATGACTTTTTTGATGAAAATAAATATTCTTAATCTTATTGAAGATATGGAGAGTGAGTAAACTATCAGACCCTGCTTGATGGCTTTTTCCAACTACACGATCTAAATGGAGGGACTCACAAACTCGATCTAAGCCACCATAAAGATTGGGACAAAACTTAATGAGGTATTTAACATCACATACTTCCCCTCCAAAGAAAAATCTAACCAATTGTAAGAAGTGGGACAAATTAGAAGGCAACATTGGTTGCATAGGAAAAAATCGTTGACTCAATGCCTTCACAAGATATCCAAAGTCATAACCACCATGAAAAGTGATCCATTGGACATCATTGTTACAAACCATTCCTGAAAACATCAAGAGCTCCACAAACCGCATAATGTCTACTCCAAATATGCGATTCTTTTTAAAATTGATACCTTGACGTTGGAGGAGTGCAATGGAGTCAGGCGCGTGAGGATCACGTTCAAGGTTAAACTCACGAAAATTGAATTCCCAGATGAAGTGATGGGAGGATTCAAAGCTTGGAAGGTTGCCCTCACTGTCGGACAGGGTGAGACCTACTTGGATCAAATGCAAGCAGTCCACGTTAGCTTTTAGTACGGCGTAGTTATTATGCGGTTGACGAAAATCAGAATGAGAGTGAAAGACAACACCAGGAAATTCAGTGTCCATAGAAATGATCGGATAGGAGTCAATGACGGAACGAATTAACTCGAACTCCTGCTCAAGATTATAGGACCACACCGACCGTGTCACAATCGAATCGCTAGGAACAACCATGATTTTCTTGTATTCTTTCTCTCGCAAAGTTTTAGAAGAAAAGAAAAGAATTTAACAAAAAGCTGGTCTCTGAGCAACCTTTTATAATATGTGCTTAGATATAAAATCTTGTTAAAAAAGTTAAAGAATAAACAATAACCAATTAGCAAGGAAGATAATTCGTATTTAAGAATATCAGGAAAAAGATTTTATAGGATATTTAAATATAACGATCCAGCATAGATATAATATTCAATTTAAATAAAAAGGTTAATAAAAAAAGTGTTTTTTTTTCCAAAAAAAGCTAAAAAATATAAAATTCAAATAATGATATTTAAATTCTCTATCTTTAATGTGTCATTTTTTTATAATTAAATTTTTTAAATTCTTTATTTTCTCTCTCTTATTTTTTTAATATATCTTATGTACAGTTATAGTTGTTTTCTTAATTTTATTTTATTTTTTCTCTCTACTCTTTAATTAATTTTTCTCTCCACTCTCTACTTAAAAATTAACCAATTAAATTTTATTTATAATTATAATTGTTCAATGGTTTGTTCCTAATCTCATTATATTAATATTATTGAATAAAGTGTCTCTAATCTTATTTATATTTGACTTATTTTAATTTTACACTGATATTTTTTTATATTTATTTATTTAATTTATCTCTCCAATAATCTTGTTTTATATTTATTTATCATTAATTATGCATTAGTTATTATTATCAAATTATATTTATAGTATTTAATTTGATTCTATTTTTTTTAAAGAATAACATATGTTTATAAATATTTGATAATATTATAGTGAAATTTTAAATGTTGAGGATTTAAAAGAGGAAATATCACTGAAAAATAATTAATTTTATGTTATTTATCTTAAATTAGTTACTAAAAAAATTAATTTTAAAACTTTTTAATATAAAATAAATAAAATATATCAATAAAATTAAAAAATAATTTTTATATTATTTTAAAATAATATTTTATTTTACATAATATATATTATCACTTTCCTATTTTATTTCTTATGCAACTAAAAATATCAAATAATGAGAATCACTGAATTATTTAAAATCTTTCTCTGTATGCATAATCATATATACACCCAACCACTTTTTAACGAACGGAAGTAGTATAAATTAAAGTATATCTAAATTTAAATTAAAAAAGTTATAACTATTTAATTGTTTATTTTACAATCATTACTGATAATCATATCTACATATTAATATTTATAAAGTTAGTATTATATCTAAAAAATATATATTATATAAGATGAGGCACACAATTATATATATAATTAAATAAAACTATTATGCATTAAAATAGATTAAACTACACATATACATAAAACGTGGACATAGATACAAATTAAGATTTATTTAATTGTTATATGAAATGTATAAATATATTTATTGATTTATTTAAAATGTAAAGATGTTGTAAACTAGTTTTAAGTTAAGATGAAAAATTAATATAGTTGTTGAACCATTACAAAATAATTTGGAAGTTTAAATCCAAGGAATTTGTTAATTATCGTATAGTAAATAATTTTTGTTATTATTCTTATAATTTTGTTTGTCTGTTTGCAGTAGATTCCTAATTTCTAATAATTATTTATTTATTTAAATATTTCGATTAAGTGAATAAGTAGTTAGTACGATTAGTTTGTATAAAGTTCAATAATATAATATTTGAAAGTAAAAATAATTAATTATGTTAAAACTAAATTTATATTAATCGATTAGATAAGTAGTTAAAATCATATTTTCATATAACATGTGCTAATAATTGATTATGTGCCTAAATTCCTGTTTTAACATAACGCGTTAATAATTGATTATAGTGATACTTAATTGATTATATTGTTTATTTTCAAACTATCACTGCATGCAAATAATCGATTAAATATTCTGTTAATCAATTATCTACATAGTTATAAAAGATTTTTTTCTCTATAAAAGAATGTAAATTTTCTTCAATCAAATATATCTTTTACAAAAAGTAAAAAGCAATAAAAAAGAATATTGTGGGCATCAAGCAAATTGAGTGATTATGTAAAATGCTTTGAACATCATATTTAAAGAAAATGTTATTTGGCAATAGGATGCAGTGTTCTATGATTTTAAGGTGAAATAATTTCTTATCTTTTTCTTGTGAGTCTTGTATTGAATTTTGATGTATGTGAGACTAACTATATCAGTTTAACTTGAAAATAGGAAAGAAAAACATTTTCAAATATTGTGATCTTGATTAAAAGTTGCTGTAAGTCAAGATTATTAGATAGGTTGTAATCTATTTTAATAAAAAATTTCAGGCTAAGATTGTTTGGTTAAAACTGGATCAAAGAATAGAACCAATATAAATTGTTGAGTTCTTTTATTATATTCTTATTTTTTTAATATTACTATAATTATTTGATATTTAATTATCAGAAAAAATTCTTTAATAATTTATTAGAATTAAAAGATTTTAAAAATTCAAGAGGATATATTCTGTCGTTAACATTTTTATAACAAATAAAATATTACAGCAACATTTATTTGTTTATAACAATAGCAATTTGTTTGTAAATTGGTATCAGAGGTAATGACCAGGTAACTGCAACCAACAAGTAGTTGTATATGCATGGAACACTGTTGTACCCCATACCATACTGCGACAGTTTGTTGCGTATATGAATGAGTGGGAAACTACTTCGATAGTTAGCCTTAGCCATTGCCATAGTAACTCTGCAGCGTAGAATATTGTTCTACAAATGGTTGTATTTCTGTAAGCCAATATGACGAATTTAACGTGCATGCTTCAGTAACTGTGGAAATATCCTGTGTTGAGAAAAATGATTTTCGATGTGAGGGAACATATAAAGGTTATGTATGATAATATTTCATGAGTGTTACCCATGTAATGTGGATCTGCCAATGCCCTTTCTTCTTTTATTTAATATAGAGTTAATTACGTTTGTGGGTTCAGTGAAAGTCTTTATCCCCATATTTCTTCTCTTTATTGAATAAGGTTTGATAGAATTTATAAACAATTGAGTAGGACATGGTTGGTTTGATTGTGATGTGCATATTTGTTACAAACAAATAAATGTTACAGTTACAAATAAATAAATGCTATTTTACTTTTATGAACAAAAGTTAAAATAAAGGAAATAACATATAATTATATTGAATTTGTTGTGTATATTTATTCACCTAATGGAAATATGTAAATGCATAATGCTAACTGCTAGAAATTAAAAACCCATTACCAACATAAAAATAAAATTACAGGAACAATAAATATTTGTTAAAGACGTGATTATTAACAAACTATTTGAACTTAAACTTTGCTCTGCATAAACGTAGATACAGGCTTAACAAACTCTCTAAAATATTTGTAAATATTTTATTTAATATATGACAGTATTAAACTAATGAATTTTTTAAAGTACAGACACCAAACAACCTTCTTAACTTCTGAAATACAATTGTCTCAACAGATTTAATGAAAACATCGTTCGTAATTTACATTTTTAATAGTTCGTTCATGTAATACAAGATTTTTGAAAAATTTGATTGTTGAATTATTGTCACAATAGATTATTTGTTGGTCCTTGGTGCAATATATGTAGTTCTTTACCTATTTTCCTCAACTGAAACTTAATAGGCACATGTTGTTGCAGAAACAAACTCTGTTTCAATTCTAGACCAAGTGACCATGGTGGTTTTATTGATGACCACGAAATAACCCCTTAACCCAACATAAATACATATCCTGAATTACATTTTCTATTATCTAGATCCCTAGTATAATCACTATCTATAGAGTCAAATAAATTTGTTTTTTTACCCTTTTTATAGAGCATACCATAACTAACAACACATTTTAAATACCAAAGTATTCTTTTTGCAGCAAAAAGATGAATTTCCTTTGGGCACTCTATGAACATGCTAATTAGACTTATAACATGCATAATGTCTAGTCTTGTCGCACTCAAATACATTAAACTTCTCACCATTTGTTTGTAGATAGTGCTATCAACCTTTCTCCTTCAAGATGTCTAATAAACTTCATGCCCACTTCAGTAGGTGTGCAAATCGAGTTGCAATTCTTCATTTAAAACTTGTCTAAATTATCTTGCACAAATATCTTTTGAGAAATAAAAATTTCAGCAATAGATTGCGCAACTTTAATATCTAAAAAATAATGAAACATGTCAAAATCAGTCCTATCAAATTCAATTATCATAGACTTTTTGAACTTGTTAAACATGACAACATCACTCCTAGTAAAATAAGATCATCAACATATAAGCAAATAATAATAATCTTATTTTTAACACAAATCTTATTTTTGGCTCTTTGACAACTTCTTCAAAAACTATTGGATCACAATCTGCAAATAAAGCAAAACGAGTAACTTCCTCTTCATTAATTTCATCTACCATAAAATTCTTCATCCATGCAATGCTCTTTTTGTTTCGTTAAGGACGTTCATTTGTTGTTTAAGCCGCTTGTTGTTCACTTTATACTTGTGTTATTGGTTGTTACCTCCCTTTTTCATCTTTAACGTTAAAATAAATTTGTATTTGTTGTTCAACTTTACTTGTATCCCAATTCCAAAACAAACTCTAAACACCATATCACGATTAATAACCATTTTCTTGGCGTTCACTTACACCAAGAAAAATATATTTTTCTCCTTTATCATCAAGCTTTTTTCTCTTCTCTCTTCTGATCTAGGATATGGGCATAAGCAACACACCCAAAGATCCTGAAATAATCTAAGACCGTCTCTTTGATTGCTCTAAGGTTCTTGTTATGTGATATTTTGACTGTGTCTTTGATTGCTCCAAGCTTCGTTGTGTGATATTTTGAACAACTACTATGGGGCTTTTATTCAAGATATGTATGCTCCAATTGACTGCTTCATACCAGAAAGCTTTTGTAACTCCACAACTTGTTAAAAGACTTTGCACCATGTTCAAAATTGTGTGATTCTTCCTTTTGCAAATGTCATTTTGTTGAG